TATAGAAGAACCAAAACATGACAAATAAGGATGGAACAAGTAAAGGCTGTACAACATCAAATGCCAAATGCTACAGTGCCATCTTCCAGGTTAGCAAGATTATGTACAATAAAGGTGCAGAGTGAGGAATTCACTTGGCAAATACAAGAGACCCAGACAAGGTCAGGTAAAATATAGAAAACATCTCATGTAAGGACTTTTGAGAACTAAAATAATGGGCTGGTCTCATCTAGGAATTTGAATTTAGTGTGTAAGGAATGAAAGGCCACTGTGAGTTGAGACGGGGAACAGTAAGATATGGCGACATGAAAGTAGTACTTCAAGTATATTGTTTCTCTAATGTGGCTTAGCTTCAACCAGAATTTGGTTAAAATGCAGGTTCCGTGCCCTGGAGAAATAACTATTCTGAAATTTAGTTTTTTTGGTTGTTTAGTTTTTCTGTCTTTATTTTTTATTTTTATTTAATTTTTTTATAGCATAAGGATACCTATATTGATATTAATATTTCGATAATTAAATAATATACCTTGCATTGTCCTTTGTACACACTGGATTCTGGATAAACACTGTATTGATTCCCTTCCACCACTTCAGTGACATGAATGAAGGGTAATACCAGAAAAATATAAAAGGTCAGAGAGCACCCTGAAGGCCAATTCAATAATATAGATATGAAATGACAAGGGCCTAGACTGAGGTGGTGGCAAAAAGAATAGAGAATCACTGGGGAAATACTCACCTTATTTTAAAGAAAAAAAAAAAAGTAGAAACTGATGGAAATTTAAAACAGGACTGCTGTAAGCTGTTTATGATTTAATCTATTGTAGTACTTTGTCTTCAAGGGTCAAAACAGAAGTAGATGGGGTTTTTCCTTCAGTAATTTGGTCTTCTTTACTTTGTATTCAAATTACATTGGTTTACCATGAAAAACATTTTGAGGAGCTCTGGTGGTGTAGTGGTTAAGGCATTTAGCTGCTAACCATAAAGTCCATGGTTTGAATCCACCAGCCACTCCATGGAAGATAGATGGCATAGTCTACTTCAGTAAACATTTATAAACTTGGAAGCCCCATCAGAATTGACTTGATGGCAATGATTTTTTTTTTGTTGTTGTTGTTAATAGGCCTCATCCTCTAGCAGTCTGGGACCCACAACTGCCACCATTTCATCTCCATTTGTAATTTTAGTGTTCTGAGTCATTCTAGAAAAAGACTATTAATATAGAGTTGTTTTTTCCCTCTTGAGGAAATCTATGATCAGTCAGTAAGGGAATATTTGATGAATTACAAGCATAGTGAGAAGAACTAAACACTCAATTATGAAAAAGGGAGATAAATAATGTCAGTCTGCTCGCTCATGTAACTTGAAGTCGAGAAGTGGACAAAGATAATAAACAAGAGAGCAACTAAATGAATAAAAACACATTCTGAAGCAGACAGTGACTGCATATGCCACAGAACAGGGTTTTATGACTAGAACATAATAGGGTGGAAGAGGGAGACCGTGAGGAGGTGAGAACAGTTGTTTATGCTGATGACTTAAAACTGAGAATCCAGACAAAGTGGGAGCAGAGGCTGTCAAAGAGGAAAATCTAATACTCAGGAATGAAGCAAAGGAGTTTTACTGAGAAATAATGTAGCTCGAGCTAGGCAGTGCTAAATAAAAGTACAAAGCATTCCACCTTTCCAGCAGAAATAAGGGTCTACATACATACAAAACAAAGGAAAGTTAGGGGATTAATGACTGATTATGGATAAGATCAGCTTCAGTTTAAAGTCCCTTGAAACGTACAAGTCAGCCACTTGGCTATGAGATGTAGAGTTGCCACCTAGGTGAGTGGCACCAGCCAGTTCAGTTATACATGACTGAAGTCATGAACACATTTTCCCAAGAACCAAGTGTTTATATCTTGTCACACTCTTACAATGAGCAAATTGCTTATATCCCGACCTGTTGCTTTATGGGAATGTGTGTTGGCCCTGTCATTCTTATGTCTGACACAAGGGCTTCCAGTTTGAAATGCTTCAAAGAAATTTACAAAATCAAGAGATTCAATGAAATCATTGAGGCAGAAATTGTAGAAATTTTGTTTAAAGTATATTCCGAATGCATCTTTATAAAACTATCAAGGTAGAGTTGTTCTTGATGAATTGAAGTGGGAAGATAAGGTCTAACAAGGGTCCCTAGAGCCTTTATGAATGCAGGATGATACTGACTTCTAGATAAACAGTACAGAAGTAAGACAGACTTTCAGTCACAGTATGTTCCCTACATGAGGCAAACATAAAAGGGTGGCTTTTGAACCCACCTAGTGGTATCTCTAAAAAAGGGCTCAGTGATCTGCTTCTGCTAAGATTACAGCTTTAAAAACTTAAGGTGAAGGTCTAATCTGTCACACATGGGGTTGCTATGGTCAGAACTGACTCAAGGGCAACAAGTTTGATGTTTTGTTTAGCTCACATTACACATTTGATCTTAGGAAAATAACAATTTTTCTGAATATCAGATTCCTCATTAATATTTATATCTTTGGTCTTTTAACTCCTTTGCCTGAGTTATCTAGATCATTATCAACATATCCTACAGATAACAATAATCATGGATTCCTTATTGATAAAACTGCACTTTTTAAAATAATTGAATTTATGATTACTGACAAGATTAAAAAGAACTTTCCAGTCACTCAAAAGTAATATGATACACAAATGGGTATCTCAATGGTTCTTTTGTTATTGTTGCTATTATTATTATTAATAGCAGCATAGTGGCTAAAGCACTTGACTGCTAACCAGAAGGCTGGCGGTTCAAACCCACCAGCCACTCCTCGGAAGGAAGG